GGCCCTAACGTTCCCTGCTGCTCTGAGCCACATGTTTTTCCTCTTTCCCTTTTTTCCTGGAACTTGTCCAGGGAAAAAGGCTCTCCTGGAAGAAATCCCAGAGGGACAGGAGAGGCTGAGTCCAGCCGGAGGTATCTGGAGCGTCCGGGGGCCTCCCCTTCCAGCTGGCGGGAGACGGGAAATGCTCCGTGTGCATTTCTTCCTTCTTTGGCCGCTGCTGTCCCAACGCCCCAAGGCCCAGTTGAGGCCGGGCCAGGAGAGCGAGTGTGCGGCAAGCATGCACTGCCCGGCAAACGGTGGGACCGCAGAGTGCCAAGGCCAGCTCTTGCGTGCATGTGTGACCTCCGTCCTCATACACATTTAAACAAGGCCACACGTTTGAGAAGTCAAGCAAGGAAACTCCCAACCTCTGCGACCCAGGAGCCAAAGCAGCCCGCCGCCCATTTATGGGAGATGAGCATTCCCTGCAAACTGAGCTCCAAATATGGCCAGGCTTCAGGCAGAGAACTCTAGATCCCTGAAAAGGAGCCGGAAAGAACAGACGTTCCTAGCCGGCTGATACCAGCATCGCAGGAATGTCGACCGTCTCTGGTTTCTTCAACCCATTTCAGGGCAGAGTTTTGTTTTGTTTATGTTTTGTTTCTTTTTGAGACAGAGTCTCACTCTGTTGCCCGGGCTAGAGTGAGTGCCGTGGCGTCAGCCTCGCTCACAGCAGCCTCCAACTCTTGGGCTCAAGCGATCCTCCTGCCTCAGCCTCCCCAGTAGCTGGGACTACAGGCGTGTGCCACCATGCCCGGCTAATTTTTTTTCTATATATATTTTTAGTTGGCCAATTAATTTCTTTCTATTTATAGTAGAGACAGGGTCTCGCTCTTGCTCAGGCTGGTTTCGAACTCCTGACCTCGAGCGATCCTCCCGCCTCGGCCTCCCAGAGTGCTGGGATGACAGGCTTGAGCCACCGCGCCCGGCCTAGAGTTTTGAAGTGTAAGAAGCTCCTCCCTGGGGAAGGAAGCTCTTACTATATAGACCAGGGGTCCCCAAACTTTGTAAACAGGAGGGGCCAGCTCACTGTCCCTCAGACCGTTGGAGAGTGCGCACTGCGGGCCCGGGACGAGTCGGCTGCTAAGCAGGACAGGCAGCGGCGGCAAAGACACCAGGCGGGCCGGATAAATGTCCTGGGCGGGCTGCATGTGGCCCTCGGGCCGCAGTTTGAGGACCCTGCTAGACCCTACACGCCGTGGTGTGTGCACTTGGTCCCTCGTAAGCACCTATTACGTTTCTGATTGGAAAATAACAGCAATGCAAAATGGAACCATAAGAATGCGCTCTTTGCAATGCACTAGGGAAACGCATGCGCCAGTAGAGGTGACGGAGCTCCTCCTCGCTGGCCTGGCCAAGGCCCCCTCAGGTTCAGGTGGAGCAGAGAGCAGGAAGGACACAAAGAACTCTCCAGCTAACAAGGGCCCAGGAAGAAGGCATGCCGTGCTTCTCTAGAGGGAATTCTTGTGCCATTTCCTCTGCACAGGTCTCCCCTTGGAGGCTCTCTTCCCTGTGGTCCTTGTGTCTGTGCCAAGTCCTACCGAGTTTCCCCAAAAATAAGCCCTCCCCATAAAATGAGCCCTGGCAGGATGTCTAAGCATGTGCGCAATAGAAGCCCTACCCTGAAAATAAGCCCTAGTGCTGGGCGTGGCTATGAAAATCAGCCCTAGTGATGGGCGTGGCTATGGAAATAAGCCCTGGTGGTGGGCGTGGCTATGAAAATCAGCCCTGGTGCTGGGCGTGGCTATGAAAATCAGCCCTGGTGATGGGCGTGGCTATGAAAATCAGCCCTGGTGGTGGGCGTGGCTATGAAAATAAGGCCTAGTGATGGGCGTGGCTATGAAAATAAGGCCTAGTGATGGGCGTGGCTATGAAAATAAGCCCTAGTGCTGGGCGTGGCTATGAAAATAAGGCCTAGTGATGGGCGTGGCTATGAAAATAAGCCCTAGTGGTGGGTGTGGCTATGAAAATAAGGCCTAGTGATGGGCGTGGCTATGAAAATAAGCCCTAGTGATGGGCGTGGCTATGAAAATAAGCCCTAGTGATGGGCGTGGCTATGAAAATAAGCCCTAGTGATGGGCGTGGCTATGAAAATAAGCCCTAGTGATGGGCATGGCTACGCAGCGCATCTGCACAACCCATGCATGTTGTCGTGGAGCGGGAAAGAACACGAGCAGCCCTTCTCATCTGCCCCGTGACAGCTCTAGTGCGCCACAGGAGAGATCTGGGCCAGTGGTTCTAAAGGAAATAGAGTCGCAAGACATTCAGGATGGAATTCAGGGTTTGGAGAGTGATGATGATGTTCCAGAAGAAGACAACTTAACTCTATTTGAATCAATGTAGATGGTTGTGCCGTACTTAAAAAAAATAACACATCCTCTGAAAATAAGCCCTAGGGTGTCTTCTTGAGGAAAAATAAATATAAGACCCTGTCTCATTTTGGGGGAGACATGGTAGGTCTGAGTTGCTAGCCTTTGCCTATACCAGGGCCCCTCAAACTTTTGAAACAGGGGGCCAGTTCACTGTCCCCCAGACCGTCAGAGGGCCGGACTATAGTTTAAAAAAAACGATAAACAAATTCCTATGCACACTGCACATATCTTATTTTGAAGCAAAAAAAACAAACGGGCAAAAACACCCACATGTGGCCCACGGGCCGTAGTTTGAGGACGCCTGGCCTATACATTTGCAGATTTTTCAATGCATGATACGCCTGAGATTTTGCAGAAATGTGGAGGGCTTTTTTTTTTTTCTTCTTAATCTTCTTTCTGTCTCATCTTTTGGGCATTAAGGTTCTATTAAAGCTATAGTTATTAACAAGACTCAAGTCTGAGAAAGAGACCGAAACTCTTTTTGCATAATAAGTGCACCGCAAAGAGATGAGCTAAAATGAGGATGTCAGTCTTGGCCAGGTGAAAGGAGTAGAAACTCTAGAGGACCGAGCCAGAAGCCAAGAAGAGGAAGCTTCTAGGAGGCGGAGGGGTGCGCACGGTAGCAGGGACAAAGACTTGAGGCGGGACAGAGGGAGGGTAGACAGGAAGACTGCCCCCCAAAAGTGACAGATAGGGGTGTCCTCAGGTGGCAGCCCCGGGAACCGGAAGTTAGGGACCATGGCCCAATAAGGACCAAAGGGACAAAAAGACGAAAAGAGAGGAGCCAGCCCCAGGCACGCTTCCCAGCCCTGCCCTGCCTTGGGATCCGGATGGCTTGGAGCCCATGCCTCAACCCAACATTGTCAACCGCTGTGAAGACTCATCTGGAGTGACATTCGGGGACAGGCAGGGGGGGAGGAGAGTGGGGTCTCTCAACCTGGGTCCCTTGGACATTCCAGCCGGATGATTGTGTGCGGCAGGGCTGCCCCTGTTCCCTGCAGGGTGTTCAGCATCACCCCTGGCATGCACCCATGCATGCCACACCAGGGGCAGCCCCCACCCCCAGTTGTGACAATCAGACGTCTCCAGACATTGCCAGATCTCCCCACAGAGGATAAAAAAAATCACTAAAGTAGAGTGAAGGATGGGAGGACATAGAAAAGACTTTAGGACCAGCTTCAGTCTTGGAACAATCCAACACCCAACACACGGGTCATCTAAATGCAAACGTCCACCTCATTAACCCTGTGCACTCGCTTGCTTTTTTCTCATGATCCACTCGACATTATCCACACTCGACATCGGAGTGCAAAGGGTTAAAATGTGCAAATGGCCGGGTGTGTTGGGTCACGCCTGTCATCCCAGCACTCTGGGAGGCCGAGGCGGGAGGATCGTTTGAGCTCAGGAGTTCCAGACCAGCCTGAGCAAGAGCGAGACCCCGTCTCTACTAAAAATAGAAAGAAATTAGCTGGACAACTAAAAAAATAATAAGAAAAATTAGCCAGGCACGGTAGTGTGCACCTATAGTCCCAGCTACTTGGGAGGCTGAGGCAGGAGGATCGCTTGAGCCCAGGTGTTTGAGGCCGCAGTGAGTTATGATCATGCCATTGTAGTCCTGCCTGGGCGACAGAGCAAGACCCTATCTCTTAAAAAAAAAAAAAAAATTGAGAATTCCCCAAAATTGGGAATTACTATTTGTTTATTAATAATAAAAGCGCCTGTATCTACGTAGCCATTGTGTCCGCGAAGATAAGAGAAAAAGCAGACACTTGAGATTCTCTGGGTAGTGCAGGATGCTATTCTGTTCCTCTGGAACAGAAGCTGCTAAACGGGCAAACCCACATCTGGCTCCTGAAAGTGGTTTGCTCTGTACAACGTTTTAAACGAAAAATGTCGAGGCCCCCATGCTGGAATTAGGAGATCCCACTTATATAAAAGTCCAGACTTTCGGGCTCGTTTGAAAAATGAGGTTTGGTTAACAC